TGCAAAGAGGAGAACCACAGCAAGACACCCCCAGATTGAGGTGTGGTGACCCAGCACAGTCAACACACCCATGGGAAAAAAAGGAGCAGATTCCCAACTTTCCAAAGAAACAACAAAAACATGAGGCATTAAAGGAGCTGGCAGATTTGATGAAGGTATAAACTTTTTCTGTGCAAACAGCAGGGAAGCTACATCATTTTCCCCTGTTCCTCTCTAACAGAACAGCTTTGCTCAACCTGATACTCTGCAGATGTGGTGAGAAAAACATCTGGAGGTTCCAAGATTAGGGACATCTGCATGAGGGGAGAATGGGGGAGTTACCCCCAAAAATGTTTTTTGAAGAATCAGGGCAAAAAGGGAAGCACTACTTGACAAATCACTGCCAGATGAGATAAAGACCAGATGGCCTTTTAAAAAAAGGATTTATAAGTTCACAAAAGTTCAAGGGACTTAGGAGAATGTTGGTACCAGATGAGTCTGCTTAGACCCCTATCTTGGTCTGGCTCACTGGACTAAGCCATGTTTCTTTCTTGGCTGGGTTATGACTTCTGCTAATCATGAACTGTAGCTCACAAACCATGATGGATTTGCACAACTCTCCAAAAAGCCACATTATGGCTTAGCATGTTGGGAGGACTAAGCCAAGGGTTTTTTTTCTTCTGACTAGTAATTTGCCCCAAGCTATTTCCAAGTATTTGCCAGTATTAACCTTTTAAAGGGAAATGAGAACTATATCTCAGCCCTTGCACATGTGAAAAAATGGGCCATACGATAAGCTTTCCCTTTTAGATAAAACACGGGAGAAAATTTTTTATATATACAATGTTTGGCTTCATATTTCTTGGGCCCCCTTCTCACTTTAAAATATTACAATCTAGGGGCAACTTGTGGAAGGCTTAGGGTGAGTGGATACATACCGGTAAGAATTTGGGAAGGGGTGGATAGCATAAGGCCTTATGGTTATGAGTTGACCTATGGTCAAAGATGTCCCAGCCAGCATCTCCAAGAGCCAGCATGAGAAGAATTCTTATGGCAAAGTGGAGGCTGTTTCTCTCTCTCTCTCTCTCTCTCTCTCACACACACACACCCCAGCATGAGAAGAATTCTTATGGCAAAGTGGAGGCTGTTTCTCTCTCTCTCTCTCTCTCTCTCTC